TTTAAGACAAACAATTGTTTTGTGAAAAAAAAAAAAAAAAAACTCCATTCCCCTCATCACAGGAGGGATGGGTGAATGGCTCATCACATACGGAGGCAGAATCTTCTTCCTAATCACGGGCCTTGCTCAGCCCCATGGTCCTTCTCCAGTTTCACTTTGATGTGCCAATTTGCAAGTAGATGAATAATCTCATCTGCCTTCTGATGGTGTGCGGGGGAGTCATGGTTATTCTGGTGGTACTTGATGCAAATGGGAGTTTTTGGCTCCTCTGGGTTGTGGCAGCACCTCCCCTGGCCTCTGTCGCTCGTCGTTAATGTTAAACTTGCCAATTAGTCGTCAGGACATTTTATTTTACATCTGTGTTGCCCTGTATTTTTTTCTGTCGTTCATAGGGAAATTGTTATTTTAATAAATGGGAATCATAACTTGGCTCTTCTGTAATTCTCATCCTGTTTCTTGTGACGGGGGATGATTATTTGAGCAGCTGAAGTACCTGGAACAGAAATGTGTCATTGTTTAATGCATCATTTTTATTGGCTTTCATTGTGCTGATTTCTGGCTGTTTAAAGTTCTGAACCTTGGACTTTTTTAATGAACAATGTCAGCTGGAGACTCAGTTTGGGTTTAAAATAAGATTTATGTACGAACCGTTGAAATAATTGAATGCTTCAATAACACAGATGACTCTAGGAATGTTCTTTTTCTAGCAACAGTTCGTTTAATATTGATAGTAAAACCTGGACTTAACGTGGGCCGACTGTTGCCATCCCCAGGAACGGGATTAATCAGACGAGTAGGTCTTATTCTGTAGCAGGAGTCCAGAGACTTGCTTTTGTCCAGATAACACTTTCTCAGGGCCGGTCCTCTGCTCGGCCAGTAATCACTGTAGGCTTTGCTGCAGTGGGCTTTTGTGATTTTCGGGGGTTGGTTGCTGATTAGCGTTGTGGGAGAGCACGGCCAGTAATGAGACTGTCGAGTGGCTCCGCTGGACACAGTGGCCCCCTCTGATAAAAGCGCCCGGGAGGATCCTGTTTGATTGGGTGTGTGATGCGCTCTGAAGAGGGTTGAAACCAAAGTTAACTTCCCCCTTTGACGGCGCTGCTACCTCCTGTGGTGATGTGTCAACACGCTACCTCTGAAACATGCTGCGAGGCTTTGTGCGCTGCAGTCGGACCAGCTGGTGTTTAATAACCAGCCGGGGAGTCTCTGCTGGTGGCCATTATTGTCTTGACACCAAATTTTAACCAGGGCAGCAAAGTAACTGTTTCGTCCAGCAGCCATGGTGGCTGATAAACCTGCAAACTCCACAGCCACTTCAGAGTAACAGCCGCACATAATAGCTGCTCAACCAGCTTCAGCAATAAGGAGTTAAAGTCACGTGGCCTTGGTGATAACAGTATTCTTTGCTTTGTATTTTCATAAAACTTTCCTTAGACATGGACAGAAGTCTTGTAAAATATTCTTTACTTTGCAGCTTCTCAAAACGTTTGTAGTGTTCTGAACGAACCAGGACTTTGTTTTTCACTCCTACAGCCTCAGAGATGGAATGATGAAATGTTGCCTCAGAGACCTAGAAACCTTTAGTGTAGTTAGAACGCATCAGTGTTAGATGTTGACTCACAATCATCATTTATTATTTTGACTCATTGTTTAATTGTTTCAGAAATGTCTGTTCAAACAAATGCTTCCGAGGACATGGCAACGACTGTGGTATAGAAGCTTGAGTTTTCACATCTGAATAGTTTTGTTGGATATAAAGCATAAGAGTGGAACACAGTTAAATGCACTGATCAGCACACTTTTAATTTTTTTTTTTTGTGATATGCAATAGTTGGTCAGGATTTAGCAAATTGTAGACAGTTTTTTCTGGCTCCTATTATTTTGAACCTGCAAATTTGAGAAAATGTTTTTAAAAAAAGGTATTTGCATATTTATCACAAACAAATTTCTGTCAATTATTCTTTGTATTATATTTTCTTTTCTAATTTTAACCATGTCTCCCTCAGCTATGTTTCATTTAAAGGTTGTAATCTCCTGAAATAGGTCCCTGTTTTGTAAAGCATCAGTCTGCAGCTCCTCTTTGTTCATCAGACAGAAATGTTACTGTCCTGCTTCTGGGCCCAGACTAGAGCCGACTGGACGGGAGCTGAGTCAAGTAGTCGCTGAACTAATTGAAAATAGGTGCAGAGAGACGTTTAGTTGTTTAGCGCAGTTGTAATCCCTGCATTAATACAGTGAACACAGCATGTTTTAAGGATTTAAAGCGTAATCCTTTGTTAGCTTTTGTCCGCCACAGACTGGAGGTCTATACACTTTCAGATCATTGTTAATTAAAGAGATTGACAGGTGTCCACTTGTAATTCTCTCTTTTGAGTCATCGCTGGCAATGAGGAAAAGAAGACCAGAGTGTTGTGGAGTTATAATTGGAGCCCAACTGGGTGGTCCACTTAAGGTTTGTTGTTGGAGGAGATAATCAAACATGAAAACTGAATGACAAAAGCAAAATGATAATGTGGCGACAGCAGTCTGCCTGCTGGCTGGTAATTGTGTGTTTTACTACATCTTGCGGTGGTCAGCAGAGCACTGGTGGGGTATTTCCTGCTTGACTTCCCTTTGTTTTATCAGCTCATAAGAAGAATTGTTTTTTTAGTTTTTTCCTCCATTTTAATGATTTTCACAAATCCCAAAATACTTAAGTCTCTAGCATTTTGGACCCATACATGACTTCCCTGGTATCGGACCTCAAATAAATATCCATTATCTGCGGGTCCAACATCTTCCTCCTGCATTAATCAGATTCTTTGTTGGTTTGTTTTTTCCATTTAATTGAACAATAACTTTGTTCAGTGTAAATATATTCTGTCAAGGCACCTTTTAAATGCCATATTTCAAACAAAGGAAATGATGACTTAAAGTAATGTAAACCCAGAATAAAACCAGTTAAGACAAAATAAAATGAGATAAAAGCAGCTTCACTCTGGTTCTGACCCGAGGTTCTACCAGCTGACTGGTTCCCCGGGATCTGTTATTTATAAATGAGCAGTAACAAATTAAAATTTATTATGTAGCCAATGTAAGGATTTAAGAACAGGGGTGATGTGCTCAGTTCTCCTGGTTGTTGTTAGAACTCAGCAGAGTCTGAATGAGCTGAAGTCCTCAGTCTTTTAGGGAAGACGAGACAATAGGCCGTTATGCTCCGTCACCGATAGAGCGAGTCTAACGGACCATAGTCACTTGGTGACAGAGCCAAGTAAATCTGAGTGTCTTCTGCATGGCTGTGATAGTTGTCATGTATGAATTGACCCAGAGGGGGAATGTACAACTTGAATAACAGTGGTCCAAGAAGCGAGCCCTGGGGGACTCCACATGCATGATCTGTTCAGATGTATGGTCACTAATGGAAACGGCATGGCTCCTGCCTTCAAGATAAGATTTGAGCCAAATGAGTACAGCCACTTGTTTTGTTTAGTTTTTCCCCCTCATTTGAAAAAAGTAAAAGTATTGCTGAAACATTTTGGCAGAAGTTGTAAAGTCTGTGTATTGATTAAAAGCCAACTGTTACCAAGTGTTGCCAAGTCCAGTGGAAACAGAGTTGCTGAATAAATCACGCCGTACATGACACTTGTGACATTGAAGAGATGAAACCTTTTGAGAAGCTGTAACCAGTTAATTTTAGCAATTCAGTGAATAGTAATCTCAAATTAATTTGGTCATCAAAGTAATTGCCAATAAAGATTTTAAGTAGTTGATCGACCAATTGTTTCTGGTCTCATTCTACTATAATCATTACTTGTTCTGATCGGTTATGTAACCTTATTTTATGAAGTTTTGATCAGCAAGTGTTAGCTTTTATAACCACCCCCAGCTTTAATCCACAAACATGCCTGTTGTCAAATCCTATTTTTACACCGACTCCTTCCCAGGTTTGTAAATGTGAGCCTCCAGGTTAGTTTCCGGGCACCCTTCACCCACCCCGAGCTGAGCTCAGCCCCTAAAAACAAACACGTCCACAGCTTGCAGCTGGTCATCGCCTTGGCAACAGTGAATCTGGAAGAAGCTGTTCGTTGTGTTTTTTTTTTTTTCTTTTTAAGTGTGTCTTTGTGAAGGGCTGGCGGCGATGGAACCGGGGTACTTGAGGCGTCCACAATGCTGCAGGCTGAATGCTTATTTCATTTTCTGAACAAAAAAATGCAAATGCAGCGCCCCTGCTCTCTCCCCACCCTGCTTCCACCTCCACCACCAGAGCCCGGTATGATTCGATGCTTAAAACACTTTAATTTCATCATGACAACTGATTCGTTCTGTATCCGTGACAGATTGAAATATTTGGGGGTTTCTTCCTTCCTTTCTTCATAAACCTGATATGAATTGGGTTAATTAGTGTCCATGTTTAATGTCAAATTGCTTCCCAAAAAGCAAACTGGAGGATTTTTCCATGTTGTTTTTAGCTCAGTAAAATAGACTTGGAGGTTGTGAATGTGACGTTTTAATTTTTTTTTATGTTGCTGTTCAGTATTTAACCTGAATCTCATTAAAATTTGAGGTACAACATAAGAGAATAACAGCTAACAACAACCTCCTCCCCGCTGTTGTGTTAAGCATTCAGATGCAGGTAAACGTAGGACCAACTGTCGCTCTTCCTCAGAGGACCGAGCTCTTTGCTTCTTAAAAAACTCCAAGCTTAGCTCAGCAGAACCACTTCTGAACATGTCGCCTTTTGTTCTTTGCAGATTCCAGGCAGAACAGTTTGCTGGCAACACCTCCCTCCTTCCACCAGCCCCAGTATCCAAGGTGAGTTGACTGCTTTTGTAAATGTGCGTTTTCTGCTCGTCTTGGCAAGTTAACAGTTAACACGCCGGCATTAACTGTTTTGTTCAGATATTGTTTTTGATATAAACACAAATGAAAAATGGGAATTATATTGGTTTTTCTTTCTTACTGCTAAGATGGGACCAACCTTTCTTAACGCTGTCAGCAAAAGGACTTTTTTCACCCAACACATTGAATTTTGTGCATTTTTTAAATTTTTTTTTATTATTATTAGAAATGTGATTTTGTGGCAGAACTCCACATCTGTTCTCAAACCATTCTCTGTATTTCATTTTTATTTTTTACAATCATAGTAGAACCCATGTGAATTAAACGTGTCAAGGCCTGTGCTCTGTGCTGATTGTAGCTCGTCTCCATCTAAATTCCCCGGCAGATTTCCAGCCTTTCTACCTGAGCGCTCTGCCTTCCTCTGTCCGGGGGCTTTGCTGCTGATAGTGAATAAGGATTTTTTTTTTCCCTGTCGCACTAAAACAAATTTCTCTCGAGAAGGTTTGTGCAACTTAATGAGGCATCACTAATGCTGTTGGAGGCTGCGTCGTTCCCTGCACCGCGGCTGCTGAGTCCGCACAGACCGGGTATTGATTCTGGCTCCAGACCTCTCTAAAGTCCTAATCAGGTTCTCTGGTTCAACTTTCAGGCCCATTGTGGCTCAGTGTCACCTCAGGTCAGTAGTTATTAGCAGCCACTGAAAACGGTTTCTTTAACCACTCAGGTCTGGACCAAATGAAATGCAGGAGGAACTTGGAGAGAGGGGATTATGAATCCCAGTGATCAGTTAAGTCCGGTGCTGGCCAGAGTGTGACATGGTTCAGTAATGAGGGATGGGGCTGCTGCTTTTAGTTTCTTCTCCCTTCGTTGTCACCAAGAAGAGACTTTTAATGTCACTGCCGGATTGACACATTGTGTGGCGGCTGTTTGGAGGGCTGCGGCGTGCCGGCTCTGCCCTCGGTCCCACAGACACAATCCGGCCGCCTCGTTTCAGGAATGAGGACGATCCCGGCCACATGTGAAAATGATTCACTTCATACTTTGTTCTTTCATGTGCATCGATGTAAAGTCATCTCTGACAAGAGGCTGTTTTATCTCTGAGAGTTCGATCCCTCAAACTCCAGTTGATGGAGGTTTTAGTTAGGCCTCTTCAAAGCAGAGCTAAAGGCCTCCTCTCTGGATCAGGAGGTCCAGCGTTTAATCTGACTGCTGCTTGCAAATTCTTCAGAACATGAATAAATCCAAACCTTGAAACTGACCAAATCCAAATTCTTTTGTTGTATTTTTGATGATTAACTAGAACCCTGCTCAGAAAAATGTTAACATAGGATCAGGAAAATAAAGTGTTGAAAGTTGGTCGGGTTCTTGGTCCAGTTTACCACTTTGATCAGACAATTTCTGAATTAAATCATGTTTTTCTTCAGGTGAAACTCCTTTCAAGGCTGCTACTAGTGAATAATAAATGCATTAACTCCTCATATTGGAGAAGCTGCCACCAGATAAAAACTGTTTGTTTTTTTTAGCTGGTTTTGCTTTAAAAATGAGTGAATGTCAAAATAGTTGTAAATTGATTTATTGTCAGCTTTAATTCGTTTATGTCTGCATTTGTTAAAACAGTAAATACTGAAACACCACTTCTTTTGTCACATGAAATGTTTTTGGGAGGAAAAAGGAAAGAGTATCAAAAACTAAATGTGTTTAACAGATGGAAAACGAACATTAAACCAACAAGGTTTTTAGTCCTTTACGATCAGACCTGTCATGGGTGAAACTTTTGGACTAAACGTTTGTATCCTATATAAATTTGAAGGTGGTTATATCGGCAAGATGTAAGGGTTTATAATGGCCTCCTTTCTATGAATCAGCCTTATTTACTGTGTGGAAAAGTATTGCTGAAAGTCTGAGGTGATAACATGTCAGTTTGTGCTTCCTAACCAGAGGTGAAGTGTGTTTACTGAATTATCAGTCAGGGAACTTTCAGTAGTTCAGTGCAGGTTCCACTTCAGACCCAAACACAACCCAGCTTGGTAAAACTCCTGAAATCTGTGTATGAATATAAGGCCTTGTTGGAGCACTTGATGGTGTCCTCTCCGAGGCTGACGGGTGTGTTCGTATCTCCAGGCAGCAGCAGTACGAAGGTGGGGGCCACGGCTGGGATCGGGCCGTGCAGTCGCAGCAGCTGGCCTACCAACAGAACATGAGCCGCGGGCGGGGAGGGAGTGGGCCCGGCGGCTACCAGCAGCGCTACGATCAGCGCAGAGATGACTGGCACGATCGCAGGGACGACCGGGGGCAACACCACCAGGTAAACCCTTCACATCTGCCTGCGACCTGACAGAGGTTTAGAAAAGCCCCCGGTGTGTTTGGAGCAGCTGTGAAGTTTCCATCCTCCGCTCATGTTTGTATTGTAATTTAAAACTGCAGCAGTCAGTAAAATAACTATGGAGCCTCTCAAACATTTCAAACTTTAAATCCCATCTTTAATAAGAGTTCTAAAAAGCTGACGTCTCTTCTGGCTGGAATCGACTTTGTCCAGTTTCTGTCCAAGCTGTGATTCATGAAACCAAAGAATCAGACTGGTTGTTCGTGACTGATGCTGGAAAACTGAACATTTGTCCGCTTGTCTCGGTTTGTTCAGCTTTTCTTCAAGGTGATTGTGTTCAAGGTGAAATACAATTTAATTTCCATTTATTCAGATTTGTCTTTTTTTTATTATTATTATTAAATGAATTGTTCAGTGTGTAAAACATCGATTCACACCAGCTGTGCGAAGTCGTGGTCCAGCCAACGGTTTAGTGTCAGACAGAAATTCACACGAGAAGGTGGAGCCGACAAACATTTAGTAGTTTTGCTTCATAAACAACCTAAACAATAATTACTTATTGGAAATAGTTGATTATATAGTCAAAAAATTGTTTCAGTGTGTATCTTATACTGTAAGTCTTTATTATGATTTCCAGTTATTACAGAACCTGAAATCTCAGGACTTGGTAGTCGACGTTTTGACTTCCATTTTAGTCGACTCACCTGCAGACGTGTTTGATTCTTTGTCAGGTTCTTTAGCTTCTTGGTAAACAAACTGCAGATTCTTTTACCGTCCAACATTTGAAAAGCTTTTGAATGGACGTTTCTTACAGGTGCTCGGTCTCAGCAACAGGCTGATCGATATTAGGAGCCTGGTGCATCAGTCTGACTCTAAAAGATTTCATGTTTGTGTTGGGTTTCCAATACACAAATGAAGTAAGATTGTGTTCAGAACATCTGATTCGATTCAGTTGAACCAGGAGCAGAAAACAATCGGTGAAAAAGCGAGTAGCAAACCGTTGTGGGGGTTGTGTTCTTCGCAGCCTGGACTGAGACGGTCACACTGCCTGGTTTATTCAGCTGAAACTGAACAGTCTGTTTCCAGATGTTGTGCAAAGTTTGTGATGGAGCAGTAACTTAACCAGTGGTGCAGATGAGTTAAAGAGCCAGTTCATACAAGGCCCAGTAATAACCCGTCTTCTCTCTCGTCTCTATCGATCATTGGCTTTCATTTTATCTTTTGAACAGGTTTAGTTTTTTATATTACATTAAAAACTTCAGTCGTAAAATATCTTTCTGAATAGTTTGTTTTTCCTTTCTGTTGTGAGTGAACTCTCCCTTTGGCACAGAGCGAAGAAGTAAACTGCCAGAGGTCAAATTTAAGAAGTCACTGTGTGTAAATCTCGTAACAACCAGGCCTTTTTTCAGGGATCGAAGCCTTGAAAACTGAAGCAAACTGTTCCTACAGACTCTGTACAAAGGCGGTTGGTGTTACTCCACCCTCTGAGGCATCATTTGGGAAACATGTGTTTTTATAGAAAGCTGAATTTGTTGTCCCTCTGTCTTTGTGTTTCAGGGCTACAGCTCGGCCAGAGGTTACCCTCTTCCTCCTCAGTCCAGGAGGTACAACTGGAATTAAGTTCAAAGAAACATTGGACTCTGGGGCTTTGAGGGGGTTTGACCACATTTTAGTAGAAATGTCATCGATTTCATTTGTCTTCTTGTACAGTGCAGTTTTTGTTTGATTCTTTTTATCTTTAAAAACTTGTGACCTGTGATTTTTAAGAGGAGCAGCCTGAAAACATCTAAATTACAAGTGAGTCTTGGGCTGAACTGTCCGCTGTGTTTATTTTGAGAGAAGCCTCTCCAAAGTGGTCTGTGTTTTAGAGGAAAACATGTCAAATAAAAGAATCCCAGTGAGATTTGTCTCCTCTTCTGTAGCTTCTGGAAAAGGAAATGCTTTTTCAGAATAACCTGATTTTTTTCAAATACATTTTACTGAAGTTTAAAAGGAAAAAACACAATCTCGTGTAGTTTGTGCAGATTTATCTGCAGAAAGAATATCTGAAGCATATTGAATTGTTAAAATGATCATCCAGCCACAGTTTACAGCCGTTTTTACATCGGAGCCATGTCCCTGCTGCTGCAAACACCTTTTTAAAAACGTCTACTCAGGTTTCACAATAAAAAGGTTGAGATGTCCAAACTGAAAGTATCATTTATTCAATAGTGGAAACAAACTGGGCTGTAACAAATGAGATTTAATGACTTGACTTCAATGAAATGATTTCTCAGTTCGTAAAATTCCGACTAAGAAGCGGTTCCCTCTCGGGTTCTGCTGCTTTTCTACTTTCTGTTTTTGCTTCATTTATGAACCTGCAGTGATGTCATTTGCTGTAGAAGTGAAAGTACCGCGCACAGCGCGCGTCTCATCCTGAACCTCCTGAAATTAAAATTAGTTTTGTTTCATGACCTTAAATGCAGCAGCAATTACTTCTGTCCTTTACAAAATAAAAATGAAACCTAACATGTTACGATTTGAAAGGAGAAAATAAGAAACATCAGTCCAACTTCTCTAAGACACAGGTTTTTCTTTTTTGTTCTTTTTTTTTATTGCTCAAAACCACCGAGTGTCTTGAGTCCCTGTGTCAAGGAACCAGAACTTTACACATGGGAATAGGAAAAAATCTGGCGCTTGTTTTTGTCCTCCAGCCGGTTCTCCAAGAAATCCAACCCAGGAGCGACACCCCAAGGGCCCGGTCCCGCCCGCGCTTCTCCCGATATTCCTACCAAGTTCTCCCGTACAGTAAATTGGATCCGATCATGCTGTTGGTGTACTCAATTAGCGCCGCGTCCGTCTGCGCCATGCTGATCTGAGCGTGCAGTCCCAATGGCGGGCTTGGGGACAAGTTCTCCAGCTCATCCGTGGTCGACAGCTGGTTCACCTGTTGCTGCGGGGTCACCCTCATGGCCTCGACTTGGCTGCTCTGTCGGTTCCCC